TGAGACAAGCCACCCCAACACTTGGCAGCACACCAGTGTCAGCCTTGGTAGGATAAATCTCCCAAGACTTATCCAACGGCTGTGAATGTTCTAAACTAACACAAGTCTCATTAAGTGTCCAGTTTTAGGGTCTTACACAGAAATGTACCACACAACTTGAATCAAACATGTACTTTATTTATTTATACTAAATGTGAAAAGTACATCAAATCTGATTGGAGCTAAGGGCATACAAAATTGTCTAACAGGACGAGGAGATAATGCTTAGTTGTTACGAGGCGTGATCCCACAAAATTCGATGAACCGTTGGATTGACTTTCGGGATTGTATCGATGGCAGATCGGTGTATCCGAGCTGGTTTCTACCTCGAACTGCTATTCTCGAGCTAAGGGTCGTACACCAAACTGAATTATGTATTGGTGCCGCGACCTGGTACTGAGGTGCCCTTAGCTCGAGATGATCTCAACTCGAAAAACCTTAGTTCGGGGTAATGGAATATTACTTTGTAGCGAGCTGGCTATGCTAAGTTGTCACCTATGTCGAGTCACGTCCATATGTCCCCTTATTATGAGGTCGGGCCAAATCACCCTCCATCAGTACCTATAATCAGTCTTTCGGTGGAAAAAATAGGCCACGCAATGGCATCGATTTTAGTATAAATAGATTTAGCTCTCGTTACATGGCCTTGGGCTTTGGGCCATTTCAACAGCGCAAGGTTTAATGGGGTAATTCAATTTGTTGGATCAAATGGAGGTCCAAAGAAGAGGGCCTTTTAATGATTTAATCTGGGTCATCTCTGGAAATATAGTGGAGTATAGAAGTTGATAGAACAAGGTTTAGATCAAGGTGTTTTTGGTACCATCATTGTTTTTTCATAAAAGGTTTTGGGTTGCTTATTATAAATTGGTGTTATAATATGAATAGTCATGTCATATAATTAGAAATATTTTGGGTTGATCAAATACAAATTGTTGTCATCATGTTTCAACTCTAAACAACAATGGTCAGTTACATATGCATTTCATCTTCTTTTTTTAGTTGAAGTGACTCACTTAAGGGTGGCTACGAAAAGCTTGATTAGGTTCTTAGGTTTGGTCTAAACCGAACTTTGAATTGAGTCCGAGTCTAATATATAGGTTCATTTGTGAATTGTGGCGAGTTTAATTCTAATAAAGTTCATAGAAAATGATATATATAAATATAAAAATAAAAATGATATATATATATATATATATATATATATATATTTATAGGGAAAATTTATGATATGGAAAAGATGTGGTATGGAAAAAGTTTTGACCAATCAAACCCACCCATGAATTTTGATAAATAACACTTGATTCGCTACTAAGTTTATGATTCCAGTTGATTGGTCAGATGTTTTTCGGATATTATATCTTTTTCATATCATAGTCGAAATCATATATATATATATATAATGTTTTTATTTTTTATATATAATACTAGCTAATTTTTATAATTCTTAAATTTCATATGTCAAACAAAAAAAAAACTTTTTATTTTTATAAAGCGTTTGGCTCACACTCGAGTTCAAGTCTCTAGCTCGAATTAAGCTCGAGCCTCATACTCTATTGGCAAGCCGAGCTGAATAGCTTGATATTCGACTCAACTCGAATCCACCCAGTGACAATCCATCTTTCTCATTAATTTCTATTGATCAACCCCAAAATGTTTCATATAGAAACTGCAATGATACCAAACACAACCTAAGTTTCAAATTTTCCTCATTCCTCAAGACTTTGCTTCAAATTTCAACATTTCAGCTAGTTATCTATGTGGTACCTTTTTCATCGAAACAAATTGAGCAAGGTGAAGTAACTACACCTTAAAAAAAGGGTGTCCAACTAGTTTGGGCTTTGGACTGTTATAAACCAAAACCCTCAAAACTCAAAATTCGTAAGTTGGAGTTGTAAAGCCGACCTCCCACATTCACTAAATCAATAATCATCATCTAAGCCTTATCCCAACTATAATACATACAAAGAAACACTTAAAAAAAAACTTAGGTTGCGCTTGATTGCAGTGGTGTAAATGCATGGAGTGCAAAAGGATTGGGTGAATTCTGGTTTATTTTTGCTTCAAATTTGAATTTGTCTTGCTTATCTGTGAAAAGTAAAATAGGAAATGCAATACTAAGGTCCTGCCTTATATGCAAGAGAGTAGAGGTAGGAGGAGGGTTATTTGTCTGGAATTGAGGCAGGGCATGATAGGGTCTCTACTTAATATGAAGAGAGAATTTAGGGGGAAGGTGGTGTAAATTTTACATCAGTTTTTGAGATGCAAAATTTACACAGCTAGTTACTGCAAATGAGATAAAAAGTACAAATTTTGTATAAGATAGGAATGCAAAAGCATAGTTATGAACAAATAGATGCAAACACATATAGGGATATACTACCAACAAAATGCTCCCAACACTGTTCCAACAAGCCCAGTACCGATGCACATTGGGGAACATCTCTCCTGACAGTGTTGGCGTTAACTCACCAAACACAGCCTTAACTTTTGAGTGAAAAATGAATCTTTCACAATCACAAAAGAAAGAATAAATGAATATTTCATTCTGCCAGCTCTGAGAACCAGGTGGGACAGGTTTTGGTTGAGATGTTGGATTGATAAATCCCAATCTGTACCAAACGCAACCATTGACATGGCTGACACAAGCTGGGATACCCACCTCCATTTGTATGCTGTTTTAGAACCAGCAATTTATGGTTGTAAGATTAGCAGCAGCAAAATGGGCATTTTTTTTAATACAATGTTTTAAATAGATCAATTCATCTCATTATTAAATATTTAAAAAATAAAAAAAGTAGTTAAAATATAAAATTGACCCGAAAGTCCTTGTCCGGATCATATGGTGCAGCAATTAACCATAAGGGAACCGGTTTGACGACCAAGCGATAAAGGGAACCGGTTTGACGACCAATTTCCGGGTTGAGCGGTTTAATTGCCTGGATCAATTATAAAAATTGGTATATACTTCTATATCAAATGAAAAATCGGATTTGGTCTTCAGAATACCGTGTTCATACGGTTCGCACAGTCCCTTGCAATTAATATTTCCTCATAAAAAAAATACAAATAGAAAAATATTCCTAATTCACGGTTGTAAAAGGCTGGCTATACACGATCGGTAAGAAATGAGCACGGTCTTGTGAGCATCGAAGCCGATCTCATCAAATGATTTTGTTTTATAAAACAAAAAAAACTACCTTCTTGCTGATGTGGCCATTGTTCTTGTCATAGGATAGCAAAACCATACATATATTCGCGAACTCCCTTTGCACACATATCAGTAACACATTTCAATGGAATTAGATCCGAATAAAAATAAAAGAAAAGTGCTTTTATCAAACATGGTATATCAAATTATAAAAGAAAAACTTGCTTCCGAAATCAGAAATTCATAAGTTCGAAAATAATAAAAAACGATATGATTTGCGTGTTTTCTTATCATCGATGTTTTTTGTTTTTTATTTTTTATTTTTCCAAACTGTGATTTTGTTTTTTTTAAGTCGAATAAACAAACAATTCACGTTGTCGAAGGAAACTGACAGACTTTTATTTATTCAACACGTTTGAATGTTCTCTCTCTCTCTCTCACACACAGAGAGTCGACTATTTCTTTATTTCTGATTGTGAGTGCAACCACCTCTACATTCCTTCGTTCTCAGAGAAAAATCAAGCGAAAGACGGACAATTGATATTCGAGACCAGAGAGACGAGACTCATACACACAGAGAACAGAGACAAGAGGTGCACAAATGGAGTCGTTTGACACATTCAGCAACGATGGAGAAGAGGTGAGGAGCTCCACTCGCCCCTTCGACGACGATGGCTACATCGGCTACGATCCTCGCCTCCCCTCCCAACGCTACGAGTCCTACATGAACTTCGCTGCCGACGAAGAACACAAGGTAGATCCCATCGATGTGGCCGACGGCATCCCTCCACCTGCACCCTCTGAATACCACCACGGTGCTTTCCCCACCGATGACGATGTCACCGGCCAGCACCTCTCCCACAACTTAGATGGCTCCCCGCCTTCTCCTGAAATCTTTGGCTTTAGCTCCTCCGTCGCCAATGATCCCACTCCCGGTTACTCTCCGTCCCCTTTCTCCTCGATCCCCGTATCCAACGGCAATGGGAAAGCATATGATCTCGCTGCGGACACGGAAGGCATTTTTACCTCTGACGGACCTGTGCTTCCTCCTCCCAGTGAAATGCAGCCCGAGGAAGGTTTTGCTTTTCGCGAATGGCGACGGTGAGGTCTCGAATTGTTCAATTTGTCATTTTTTTCTTTGATTTTGGATCTCAATTAGGCTGATCTGTTGAGGCTGTGCTAGTTGTATGCTTGCATTGTGTTTGTCTTCTTGATTTGTGATCATTCTCTTGCCGCTTATGAAATACGCTCAGATCTTTCTGCGTTACTCTCATTTTATTGATATTTCCCCCTGGTGTAATTGATTAAGTCCGGCAATTTTCTCATAAGCTGAACTGTTTTGTTTGTGGTTTCTGACTTTGCGTTAGGAGTTGTAAGCTTCTGCTCGTTTTGCACTGTTACATTGAATAAGTATCCTTCTTTTTAGCTTATGTGTGTATAAATAAAAGTCTACCATACTTGGTTGAAGACATTTATGTATCACGATAAGTCTTTTAGTTGTTTAAAATTTAAACGAGTTAGTCTGGTAATTCTTTCCCCAAAAACTAGGTTTTCCAATCCCTAAGGCAGATGAACAGTTCGCTTTGAACCAATGATGTTGGCATGATTCTGCTGTCATCAAATAAGTGTGGGATACAGGGTTTCTTACCCAGGTCATTGCACCTATCATCCAATGGCCATCCCAATTTCCCTGCTCCATACAAGTGGCACTTGAGAAGAAGGCTCAGGGCTTACTCCAAACTGGCTTATTTTCTTTTCAATGGGAACCAACATTGATCACATGCAGAAAGATTCTCCTAGTGTATCACATTATATCCATGTGTCTAAATTATCTAGTACTCTTTGGTGCCTTCAAACTTGTGCAGCTGGAGGCCTTTGATCTAGGAACCCTTACTCAAATAGTCCAAGGCATGCTCTCTGTCACTCCCCTTTAGAACAGTTGAGATTTGGGTGGAGATACAATTGAAGATCATTTATTTTTTCTTGGAGTGGACACATCAGTATTAGCAAGATAAATTTCACAGTCTTGTGATACTTTTAAGAAATATAGGAAGGTTATGCATGAAGTCCTCAAGTAGAGGGCACCTTTAAGTGGTTTCAGGAATTAAGTGAAGATTTCTAGCATCCTCAACAGATATTGTTGAGCTTCTCATCCTTTCAGCATATGTGGGAAGAACCAAGCAAGAAGCTTAGACACCTTAATTGTGGAATTCACTATGGTTGTCCAATAAGGCATGGCGTATAGCTAACAATCTGGACTATTAAATTGATAAGCTATATTTTTGTTGACTGGAACTGGTCTTAAACTCTAATCATTTGACAATGAACTTTTCTGCACACCATTCATCCTTCATGATACTCACATTCATGGATTATCCTTTTCCATCCCCACAAAGCTTTTTATTTTTGTTTCATGGGGCTACACAACGGGGGATAGCCCATCCCCCTCCCTTAACCTCTGAACCCTGGGGGCAGTGGGATTTAATCCCAGGTCTCTACTCCGACGAGTCAGAGAACCTACCAACTGAACCACCATCATTTGGTATCCTTGATAGACTTTTTTGACCAGAAAATGAATTTTAAAACCAATATAAGTCCTAAAAATAATAATATTCTAATTCAAAAACTCAAATAATAAAAAATAGAAAATCCCTTGAGACATTTAAATTGTCTGTAAATCAGCCATAACTTGTAATATTTACTGTTTTAAGCTTAACTTGATATCTTAATTCAACTAAGCCTTGTTTCAACTATATGGGGTCAGCTACATGTATCCTGTTCTGCCATTTCGCTCTATTCAATGTCATATCATCCATTGTTAAATTATGTCCCCTAAATCATTCCTCACTACTTCAGCCTATTTCCTTTTAGATATGCTCCTAGTGCTTCTAGACCCTTTTACTCGTAATAGATCATTTCTTCTCTCCAGTGCTATAGATGGTCTTCTTTGCACGTGATCAAACCATCTTAGTTTTTCCACTCATTTGTCTTAACATTTGCATTTCTGCTAACTGCTATTTTGCTTTTTTGAACATGTTGCTTCTAGCTGGCCTTAGAGCCACTTTATAATTTATTTTTTCAGTCCACGAGGAACTCTCCTACGTACAGGTCTCTAGATGCACCCCTCCATTTTGCCCATGCTGCTCTTATTCTATGATTAGCATCTTTTTCAGTCTCCCTTCTTATGGACTATTGAACTTAACAATGTCAACGGGTCAGGTTCAGCACAGGTTGCCTCAACCCTAACCTAATCATCCCATACTTCCACCAGAACCTGACTAGGATTCAACCCATTACTGACCTGATCCAACCTGCAGTCTTTGAATTATATATTTTTTTATCACACATTTTGAAAATCCAAGAGCTATGAATTTAAGTTAGAATTTGGTTTATGGGACCAAGGTATCACTTTCTCCATAGTGAAAGAAGGAAAGTTAAAACAAACATGAAGAGAAACCTTAAAACTTTATCGTTATGGGTTAGAAGTCAGACCAAATTACAAGAATGCCCTTTATATTGTGTAGGGGTATTATGACCCAATAGGCCAGGTCAGCCAACCTAACTCGGGTTGAAGAATCAAAACCCTTACCCAACCCTACACCCTAATGAGCATGGCCCTAACCCAATCCTATAGGGTCAAGTCAAGTTGGGTTTACCATTTAACCTGACCCATTAACTTCCTTAATTGAACTAAGATAAAGAAGTGGTCACATTGAGATATCTCTTGGTCTCTAATCCTAAATGTACCCAATTTGGCAATTTGAACTCCTATTATCATTAAACTTGTGTTGCATATATTTTGTTTCAGTCCTGCTTATTAGGGATGCGATGCAAGTTGGGTACTCGATTTGAAGATTTTACATTGCACCGGGCTTGGGGCTTTTAGGCCAGGCCCATTCAAATTTTAACATGAGATTTCCCAAGTTGCACCCCTACTAATTATTTTAAAACCCATTGTCATTAAGGCATTTGTCCGTGAATCTAATTTTTTTGCATTACATCCCTCTTGAGTTTATTAATTAATACTATGTTATTGGCAAACAGAATACACCAAGGGACCTCCTCTTGTATTCATCCATGACCAGTGCAAACAAATTAGGATTGAATGCTGAGTCTTGGTGGAGTCCTATCTAATGAAAAAATCTTTTTTCTTTTCCTTGGGTGTTCAATATTGGTTATTGCTCCATCATATATATGTCCTTTTCCTTAATTAGGTCCATCTACCTATTTGGTACTCTTTTCTTTTCTAAAACCCTTTTTTATGAATAACTGACAGAATTTTATTAAGATGTAAGGGTAAAGATACACCATTGGGATTGTTAGCCTTGGCTAACACCACCAAAAAGCAAAGAAGATGGGAAACAGCAAAACAGCAGTATAATTACATCAGTTGATCCCAATTCAAACTGTCCCTTCTAGTCCCTTGTTCTGTCAATCCATCAGCCAGCCCATTGGCAGATCTTGGAATCCACAATACATTTTCTCCCAATTTACACATGATATCCAAGGAGCCTCCTGGTTTCCCCTTATCCAGCCAACTACTACTTTGGAGTTCCTTCAACATCTGAGATTCATGGCTTTGGCCTGTCTCACCCCATGTAGAATTTCCCACATTTCTTCCTTGAGTCTCCAACTTCTATGCAGCCTGAGAACAAAGCCACAGTGTTTCCATCATCATTTCTGAAGACCCCTCCAAAACCCACCAATCCAGGGTTTCCTAGGCTGCAACTATCGAAATTCAGATTTACAATACCTGAACTTGGGGAAGTCCATCTAAGAAGGAGAGTTGTTTTGTTGAGGAAGTATCAGCCACTATCTTCCAGGTTCTTATAATATCACCACAGAGAAGGGAGAGGAAATGTCTTGCTTTTTTTTTTTTTGATTTCTAGGAAATGTCTATTGCTTTTACCCAATGTATGACTTTGGTTGATATATTATCAATATCTTCCTCAACAAACCTCTCCTTATTGTTGAACAGTTGGGAGTTTCTCTCCTCGCAAACCACCCAAAGAATGGCTGTTGTTGTTCATCTCTGCATTATTTTGCTTCTTCTCTCGGGTGGACAGAAATGTACAAAACCCATTATATTAACTTTCTAGGAACTCTATCATATGCTTTCTCTAAATAAATGAGTACTTTATGAAGGTACTCTATCATATTTTTGTCAACTATCTCTATAAAGGGGTAGCTTCCAAGTTAGGTTTTCGATATGCTTGTTTCATGCAATATATATATATATATATATATATATATATATAATGACCCAAAAATGGAACTGCTTTTCTTCTGGATGGTGGGTTAGTGGTTCAACCATCCAGGTCAAATCAGTCAACCTATGACATCATAAATTGAACAAAAATATAAGTATAGATAAAAATACACAAAAAGCATGATAAATGAGCATTATTGTTTCAACATTGAAAATGGATAAATTGATAAAATACAAAAAAAAAAAGAGAACTAATGTCTAATTTGTGACATGCTACCAGGTCAAATGGTCTAGTGATTTAACTGAACGGCTCATCAGATCATTGACCAAGTCAACACTTTTTTCCAAGCAAATACGTTGGGGATGAAATGGACCTAGAAATCTGGCTAGGTGATGCGTTAACTGGTTTGACTACAGGTTGAAAACACTGGTTTCATGTTGTAACCTCTATTCAATTACTCTCTCTCTCAAAGTTTCATAGTGTGGGCCATTAGTTCAATCCCATGATAACTATTGCAACTTTGTATTATCACTTGTTTTTAAATATAGGCAACATGTTTCTCCATTTATCTGACATTTTCCTTGTTTTCATTAGCTTATTAAATAGTTAGCCAATAGCAAGCCTAACCTCTCCTGCTCTCCCATACTTCCCCAAACTTCTATTGGAATATCATCAAGTCCTAATATTTTTTCTCTTCTTTGTTTTATTTAAATTCTCCGCTTTGGAAGCTCTAATTGTAAAAAAGTACTTATTATTTTTACTTATATTAGAGTTACTTATTCCTTCCCACCATCAGCCTTTATATGTTCTTCATTTAGTAATTTTTCTTTTAAATGGCTTCTCTAGTATATGTTTGGCATCGGTGCTGCAGATGCAGTTAGGTAGGACGTTGTTTGTTTTGTTTGGCATCAGAAAATGGTGCTGCTGATGTGTGGGTTGGAAGCACCGCTTTCTGAGAAAACGGTGTCTTTATTTTGTTTGGAATAGTTGCTGCCAGGTAGGACGTTTCCTGGAGCAACAACAACTTTTTCTGTTACCAATGCTCCAGGAAACATTTTCAGCACTGGTATCCATTATCCAGTGCCACATCAGTGTCACATCACTGCCCTGTTGGCAGCAACGAGCTGCAGCTCCAGGAAACGCCAAATTTGGCGTTGCTCCAAGCCATGCCTTCCCGATTTCTGAGGTGTGGCTTGGAGCACCGTTTTTTATGGAAAAATGGTTCCAAACAAATGCCCGTTTCCTGAAGCACCATTTTTTCTGACATGGTGCTGATGTGGCGCCGTTTTCTGGAGCAACGGCAATGGTTCCAAACAGACGCCTAGTTTTCCTTGAGTTCTTCATTCTTTACAAAAAACTTAGTAATCTTTCTCTTTCGTGCATCCAACATGATTTAAATTTCTGTCTTCTCTTATCTTTGCAAGTTTATAAATGCACTTCTCTCTCTTTAGTGTATAGTTTATGATAGGGTTTGTTATATGCTTTATATTCTCTCTTATCTTTACCTAATTGCCTGCCTGATTTAAGTAGTAGTTGCTAGGGTTTACTGCCTATAGAATTTACTAGATCTTACAGTACTTCAACTATGGATTTGAGCAGCCAAAATGCTATTCATCTTGAGGAGAAGGAGAAGAGGGAGAAAGAGATGCGTAACCAGATTATTGAAGAAGCTGAAGAATATAAACGATCTTTCTATGAGAAAAGAAGAGTTAACTGTGAGACTAACAAGGCTCATAACAGAGAAAGAGAAAAGGTTGAACTGCCAAAGAACTTCGCTCCTATTGCTTCCTTTCCATTATTGTTGCCTCTGTGTTTTTTCCTTTTCTCTTGGACAGTTTTGACTTTTTTTCTCATATTCTTTCTTTCTTTTTTTGATTGATAACAGAAAATAATTAATAAACTAGCTAAATATCCTACTAAAAGATTGTTTATTTTATTCCTAATACAAATGGTCTTGTCCTTGGACAGTTACACTTGGCTAACCAAGAGAAATTCCACAAGAATGCGGACCAACAATACTGGAAAGCAATAGCAGAGCTCATCCCCCATGAAGTGCCTAATATAGAGAAGAAAAGAGGAAGAAAGGATCCAGAAAAGAAGCCATCCATTGTGGTTATCCAGGGTCCAAAGCCTGGGAAGCCCACTGATCTTTCCAGGATGCGGCAGTTACTCCTGAAGCTGAAGCAGACACCTCCATCTCACATGATCCCACCACCCCCTCCACCTGCTAAGGATGGCAAAGATGGAAAGGACGCCAAGGATGGGAAGGGTGCCAAGAATGGGAACGATGTCAAGGATGCTGCACCAGCATCTGCTGCCAAAGAAGCGGTTGCAAATGGTGTCCCAGAACCCAAGAAAGATGCTCCTGCTGCAGTCAAGGGCCAGACAGTTAAAGAGCCTGACTCATCTACCGCATGATGATGATGATGGCACATGACAAGTTCATTTCCTTTTTTCCTATATCTTCTTTTATCCCTTCTGTTCCATGAATTGGATCTTATGTTGCTTACTATCTGACCATGCCATTCGCTACTGAGAATAAACACAGCTGCGTCTAGGTCACACACTCTGGCTGTGGACTGTAGTGAGCCTTTCTTCTCTTTTTGCTTCAGGGTCGGTGGGCTTGCAATGTCACTGTTCGTTACAATTTTTTTTTTTGGAAATTTATTTTTGTAGGTAGAATTCATTTCTTGAGTATTATTACTTCAGTGACTCAAGCTTGTTTCTGGGTGTGGCCTTTCTATGTTACCAGAGAGAATACAAGAATAAGCAATATGAGCTCCTCATTTCTTTAATTACAAGCTGGTTTAGTTCTGTCAGTGACCCATTGCTATTGGCCTTTTACATTTTTTTATCTACGGCTTGAGGAGGGTAATGGTGCCATTTTTTGTTCTTTTCTTTATTTTTACAATGAATGAACATGTCAATCTGACCATGCTGGAACTAGAAGTCTATTTGGAAACCTGATTTTTTTTGAAAGTCCTAATTAAAGACATGATTGAGTTAACATGCCAATCTATTCTTGAAAGTTTTCCATTAACCAAGGTTTACGATACTTCAAATTATATGGGAAAAATCCTTGAACCTTCCTTGAGGTTTCTGTCTTTCTGAGAAATACTGAAACCTCCCCTTGCCTTTTCCACCGTTGACTGAAATAGCAAGACAAACCACCCCTCGCTTATTCTGTCATTTTTTTTGCTGTTAAAATGCAGCACATGAGTCATGACCGTTTTATTTTTAAAGCCCGCAGGAAAATTTCATTCAACCAAGAAAATTACAGGGAGTTTAAATGGGATACATCTTAAGTAAAGCTGAAACAATGAAATCTATTTCTATATAAATATATTAAGCTGAAATGTATATATAAGAAGGCTTGAGGATGAAGGAAATGGAATCTAACAGTATTTTTTGCCTTTTTCTTTATAGAAATTACAAGAATGTCATTTTTTACCAACTTTCTCTCTTTTGTTTTTTTTTCTTTCAAATTACAAGAATACCACTCTCCTTCCAACTCTCTCTCTCTTGCTATTTTTTCTTTTAAAATACAAGAATGTCACTCTCCTACCAACTCTCTCTCTCTCTCTTACAAATTACAAGAATGCCATCTCTCTCCTTATAAATTACAATAATGCCACTCTCTCTCCAATTGAGGGAGACCTCATCTTGGTATCTCAGCTACTAGGGGACCTGCAACCAAAGGTAGTCGAGTTCAAGTCGAGCCGAGCTTGAACTTCTGAGATCAAGCTCAAGTCTCTAATTCAAATCGAACTCGAGCTAGACGACACCTCGACCACTGAGGGAGACCTTGGCTCGACACTTCGGTCACTAAGGGAGATCTCGGCTCAGCACCTCGACAACTGAGGGAGACCTCAGCTCGGCACCTTGTCAATTAAGGGAGACCTTAACTCAATACCTCGCCTGTTAGGGAAACCTTAGCTCAACACTTCAGTAGTTGAGTGAGACCTCGGCTGCTTGAGAGGCCTACAATCAAAGGTAGTTGAATTCAAACTTCCGAGCTTTTGACTCGAGCCAATCTTGAGCTCGAGCTCAAATCTCTAATTCGAATCAAGCTCGAACCTGATAGTTTGGAGGTGAGTCAAAACAACGGTGGCTGGTAACTAGTAAGTGAGGCTACAACATTGGCCTCCCTTTAGACATGGCGGGTCTCATCACAATTGACAAACATAAAACCTGAAAGGAGGGCTCTACAATTCCCAATGAGCGTGAGAACTAGGCAAGGAGGGTGAGGACTGAGGAGTAGACTCCCAAGTCTTCAACAGAGCTTGGGTTACATCTCCGACATCTCCTTCCACAATGAAGTTTTGAATGCCCAAAGAATGAGAAAAGATTAAAACCCTCTAGCAGTGCGGTAGCTTCTGCTTCAATAGCATTTTACATTTAAAGCTAAACTGCTTTCGTGAAAGGATCTACCTTGTTCTCAGTTTTCAAAGTCAAAAAACAACCGAATCACCTGTTGTCCAATGTGGACCAGCAAATTGGCCTTGTGATGCTTGATGAAGATACAGACACCAAATATCCCTCTTAAGCCATATGTCACCCAACAATTTCTGTCCATTGAAGTTTTGTACAAGTAAACATAAAAATTGTGGATTTCATGCCGACCTTTGATTGGGACCAAATTTTACATGTTGCATATTTAGATGATGTTTTATATTGAGTGGTTTTGATCTGCAATGAAGCCACTGATTTGGTCAAATAAAAAACAAGTTGACTCACTTACAAGCATCTTCAAATCATGTAGGCTGTGGCCTGTGGATAGGGTTAAAATCATGTAGGTTATTGGAATGGAATATTTTTTCTTGAAGCCGCTTTTAGGTGCAGTAATAAAATGCCCCTATTTCAATCCATTATAAACACATAATTATTGTTTTTCCAAACACAACAGTCAGCACCAAGAAGAGGTATAAAACACATGAGGCTGCGTTTGGTTGCAGTATGAATTTCATTTGTACTGGTGTAAATGCATGGGAGTGCAAAAAGGCTGAGTATAAATTCTGGGTTTACTTCTGCTTTAGATTTGACTTTCTTATTTGTTTAAGGGAAATAAAATGAAGTAATTCTAACTTTAAATGAAAAAGAATGGATGTAGGATGGGGGTTTTCTGTCTGCGAGTGAGGTGGGGTGTGTGGTCCCTGTAGAGAACACTGATGTGGACCCCACGGCTGTGGTCCCCATTATGTTCGTATGGCAGCACAACATGTATTCTTTATTAGTTATGTCAGTGTTAATTGATAGTTATTTCGGTTTTATTGTTACAGCTTGTTATTTCAGCTTTATTATTAGTTTATTTTCCATGTAAGCATTAAGGGCAATTCAACCTTTTTTACAATTAATAAACATATAAATATTAAGAGTGGGTCGGCAAATTGATTCTATTCGACCCTCTCTCTCCTTTTCTAAAACCCTTCGTGTGCTTCTGCTTTCTCTCTTTTCTTCTTCTTTTCTCCACCTGAACTCTTTCTTTTACTTTCGGATTCAAGACTGATTGTAGTCTTGATCGACTACCATCCCCACTTTATATGAGAAAAAATTGAGGTAGGTAGGAGGAAGGTGGTACAAATCAGTTTTTGAGATGCAAAATTTGCACTATTAATGAGTGCAAAAGAGCAAAAAAAGTACAAATCTGGCATCAGGTAAGAATGAAAATCATAATTACAAAGGCTCAGTTTGAGAGAGTTCAAAAACAAATATATACAGTGCAAATACAATGTTTAGAAATACCATTTACAAGGTTTTGCACTGTACATATTTGTATTTATCACTCTTCCCAAATTCAGCCAAATGAGCGAAAGCAAAACTGAACTGGGTACAAACTTTGCTCCTGGTGATACCAGAAAGGTTTTGACCAATCAAAACCCCCGTTGAATTTTAATGAAAACCCACATGATTGGTTACTACTTTTATGATGCCAGTTGATTGGTTGTGAGTTTTTCCAGTATAATGTCTTTCCGGCATCATAATTGAACCCTTTTATAAATACACCAATAACACAAATTCCACAATTCAATTGGATATAAGGTGCAAAACATATAAGTACATAGTTCATCAGCTTCTGTCCAAGGTGAAATATTTCAATCAACATATTAGACATAAACCAATTGTAACTTACATTTGTATGATTAATACACATGAATCCAATATTGTACTTTTACATACATAATACACCACAATAAAAAATATTCATATGTTTATAAATTATAATGGGAACTGAGAAACCACAAATCAAGTGAACTTAGCATGCAAGATACTTATTTCTTACACATTTTCACAAGTATCAACATACAACTTTGTATTATATTCTAATAAATATTAAAGAATATAAGTTCAATACAAACTTGTTTTGAGGTAAGTATCAACTGTTTTGCTCAATGGGTGCATTGTGTACCTCAGACCAAAAAAGAATACATATTGGCCGTATGATATTGATACCATGAACCTTGGTTACCCTTAAGCAGCAAGAGGTTGCTTGAAGTTGTGTGAATGACCATATTAAAAAACAGTTAAGCCAGCATTTACAGCAATCTGAACAGTCCAACCAGGTAGTGTGGAACTGTGGATGCTTGAAGATTGAGACTGTCTTGCTGGAACCAGGCATTGATCTTTGCTTGTGAAGATGCACTTCCAAAGAACTATTTAGAAAAGTATGGTGAAGCACTATTTAGAAAAGTATGGTGAAGCACTATTTAGAAATTTGTTTCTCAATTTGAACAGACATCTTTTCTTGTGGAGATCTGTCAGTGACTGCACTTCCAAAGAACTCTGAGGGAAGAGAAGAAAACAATGAAGAGAGATCGCTAGAAGCTACTTAAATTACTCCATATAATTACTAATGTTATACATTACAAAAACACTTCTCAATTTCAACCGACATCTTTACTTTAAGTAACCTTCCACAGACTGGCACTTTCAAATAGCTCTTGTGATGGAGAAAAGAATACAATAGAGAACCACTAACAGAGCTTCCAAACAAGCACCCAAGCATTAAAGATGGCATGCAGGGCATCGAGGTACTACTCTCTCACTGATTCACATTTTTCCCTTCCAAAACCATTTACAGAAATCATAAGAACCAAATGGTGTCTTACAAGCTCAGAAACATGATTTGATACTTTATCTTGGAATCACCTGAGTGATAGTGACTGGAGAAAAGCTGTACGATTGGTTGGTATAGTTGGTTGATGTGAATTTTTTTGTTGATAAAGGGATTTCACTGGTTCCCACTGAATCTTCAAAGAAACCTGGAGGCTTAAGTTCCTTCTCATTGAGCCGTATGTTTGTTGAGAGCATGTCCATAACTTGGCTCATTGTAGGCCTTCTACCTGCTGTTTCTTGGGTGCAAAAAAGGGCTACTTTGATGTACCTAAGAACTTCTTCCTCTGGGTATTCTTCTATCTCTGGATCAACCAGCTCCAACAATTTTCCTTCCCCATAAAGGTGCCATGTCTGTAGAGGCAAACCTCATACATTATAATAGAATAGAAACAGGGAGAAATACCATTTAAATTAAAAGGAAATATCTACAAAACAGTCGTAAGGCCAGCTAAGAAACATGTCTAAAGGATAGTGGCAGAAATAGATATGCTAAGATGGATGAGTGGAAAAACTAGAAAGGATAGAAGAAATAGCCATTTGTAGGAACCTAGAAGTAGCTCCAATAGGTGATAAAATGAGAGAAATTAGACTAATATGGTTTGGTCATGTGCTTAGAAGACCATCGACAGGACCCATAAGAAGTATACTTTACAAGTTGAAAGGACTAGTAAGAAATGATTTAAGTGCCAATAATTTAATAGTGAATATGGCATTAAACAGAACAGAATGGTGAAACAGGATTCATGTAGCCAAGCCCATATAGTTGGGATAAGGCTTGGATGATGATGATGAAACAGAGAGAAATACATTGAAAAGAGGAAGATTATGGAAAGATTCACATGAAGCATTACAAATTATGAAAAATGCCCTTTCAGGAGAAAAGGAAAGAACAAGAAAGTAGGAAAGTATATCATTATTTGTTGGAAGATTTCAATATCCTTTATTCCAACATAGATTTCTGGTTTTTTTTTTCCATTTTTATTTCCTCTACTTATGCCTATTTTTTGTTAGGCAAACCCAAACCACCCCTGTGACCTAGCAGTCACTAAAGACCATACTTTATTTCAAATCGTTTCATGAAAAATCAGAGAAGAATCTCCATTTTGCAAACTGTATCTCCTAACAACTTAAATATGTGAGTTACAAATCCAAATATCTAATATGAAACTACAATTCAAAATTAAAAATATTTGTTTAAATTCACATCTCACAATGGACTGTTCAACAAAAGAAGATGGAGCAATTGGACGAGGCAAACTTAGGAAAAGCAAAAAAGTAAATCTTAGAAGCCTACCCCTAATGAACTGGATTTATTTAAGTATGGAAAATCATGATCTGTAAACCTGAATCTTAGGTAAGCAAACCAACAAACCAGGTGACTGCTAAAGACTGTCATTACAGGGGGATTAACAAGGCATGTACTTGCAACTGTAACTTAATGTTTTGTTGACTGTCATGCCTTCCTTTCTCTTTAGCTGAGTCCAAAAGAGGGAGGAAAAGAAGATGATGAGAAGGGACAAGGAAAAATCAAATAGTAAACTCCAGGGAAGAAATATGAAAGTGGGGGATAACAATCTTGTAACATTCCATGGTATTCCATAATTAAATTTATAAGCAAAAGTATATTCGAATTTTTCAACAGAAGAGTTGCTGAGTAAACTTTAAAGTTTTCGGTAGCAGAACTACTGCCATAAAATAGAACCATAGTCACACATAAAAGAGCAGAGGATCTAGAAGTCAAGAAATCAAATCAAGATTGCAAAATACTGATCAGGAAATGTCCAGGGAGTGCAAGTCCTGCAAAAGTGGTTTACAATAATTAGAAGGGAAAACCAACAAACCCATTCAAGAAGACACTTCTTCATCTCTCCCCAGGTTGTTGCAACGCTTCTGCCACTAATTACTTCGAGTGTAAGAACCCCAAAGCTGTAAACATCTGCCTTCTTTGTTAATTGACCACGCAATACATATTCTGGTGCCAAATAACCACTGCATCAAACAATACTACAATGTGGGAATATATCTCGTAAAATTAAATAGTGCAAAACATGTAAACTTAGCCCGAACCAGCTTGGCCAATGACCAATATAAACCGCTTGTAATATGCAGGATAACAATTTTAATATAATTTTATGTCAACAGATGAAGCATCTCAAAAGGGAGAGTGTTCCTGTGTGTGTGCCTGCATGTAATGAGTATATATCATCATCATCATCTAAGCATTATCTCAACTATATGGTGTTCGCTACATGTTACATGTAAAGACTACATATATTAAACAAAAAAGAAAAGAAAAAAGAAATGACAAGATTAATCAACAATATATCTAAAATGATCAAAATTCTCAAGAAACACCTTCACAGGCAAGGTTTTCATTTTCTAAATTCTAATGCGGAAAGAAAAACAATGGCATGTAATATATGCTACATATAACCTTCCATAGTTTTCAGAATCTGAAAGGTCACTTACGTTGTTCCAGCAAGTCGTGTACTAATATGAGTTATGTTTTCTGGAAAAAGCTTAGCCAACCCGAAGTCTCCAATTTTTGCAATGAAGTCCTTGCCAAGAAGTATATTACTAGCCTTGATGTCTCTATGCACAATTGGTGGCTCAAGTTCTTCATGAAGAAATATTAGACCCCTAGCTGTACCCATGCAAATAGAAGATCTTTTATCCCAATCTAACTTAGTGCTTTTACTCTTAGAACCTGCAAGGATACAAAAAATAAAATATACTTAAGTGCCTTCTTCAGAATATCATCAAGTCATTCACCTATAGTGGCTGCTGAAGATTACCTAATAATGCACGATCAAGGCTGTTATTTTCTACATATTCATAGACCAAAATTCTATTGTTTCCTTGAACACAACATCCAATCAACTCAACCAGGTTTGGGTGCTTAACATTTGACACTGTTTGAATCTCAGCCAAGAATTGATTCACTCCTTGCTTTGATTCAGCAGAAAGTGCCTTAACAGCAACTTTTGTTCCATTGCTGAGGATTCCCTGGAAAAATGACATTAAAATTAATAAATATAGGCATTATGGATACTTGATAGAAAAATAAGACAATTTTTTTGTGCCTCGTATTTGATACCAAACATAGAACCAGTGCATAAGTTCTTAATCATTAGTAAAAGTACAATAAGCTATAAAAGCATTAATATTTAATAAGTTCCTATATTGTGATGATCAAGCAGAAAAAGAAAACAAAACAATTATATAGAACTACCTTGATTGTAAAATCTCTTTGAGAAAATCTCTCCCATAGATGGTTTTTGACCCTTCTTTTGTTTTAAGAAGCAAGAGAGTGGTAGATAAAAAGAACTGAACAGAAGGGGAAAATTCACAAGTTGAAAAGTGAGGAGGAACCTATGTCTTCTAATGAGGCTGCAATAAGACTAGCATTGGATGATTCGAGTTCCAATAAGTATTTTTATTTGACTTTCCCATGGTTGTCAAGGCATGCCAAGGCGACAAGGGGCCCTTGGAGGCTCGCCTTGCCTAATTGCCATGCAGTGTTCTATAGTGTGTTATGAAAAACTTTTTGTGTGTTTATATACTAATTTCTTTTTATTATTTTCTTATTTGTTAGGGTTTAATCAACACAAACATCGCTAAATGCTGTATTGAACCCTCAAAGACTTTCAAAACCTGAACCAATAAGTAAGGAAGAACATAAAATGTTGTCCAATCAACACATTTTCTTCTTTTCTTTACTAATTTTGTGTGTTTATATACTAACTTCTTCTTCTTCTTCTTCTCATGAATATGTTGGAATATGTTGATTCTCTATACTTTAACGGAACTACCCTAGGATACATGTTTTTACTTAAAAAAATCCATCGCCTAGGCGACTAGGAGACAAGGTGCCCTCCTGTCGCCTAGCCTCGCCTTGGTGCCTTGAAAACTATGGCCTTTCCTTTAGTTCATTGATTGTTGTCGTGTTTTGTCGTTGTTGTTTACCTTAGCTTAGTGAAATGTCTGGTCCTCTTGGAGATTGGATTTTAGATTTGTCTTGCTTGTGGCCTCATGTGTTCATGTTGAGATGCACTACTAATCCATTTATGTTTTTTTTTTTTTTTTTTTTTTGGGGGGGGGGGTCGTTGTTGCTCAAGACCATTTAGTCTTATTTTGTTTTTATTTCTTTTTTATCATTTCTTATTGATTGTTTCATTACCTATCAAATTTCAAATAATTATACATGACACTATTTATGCAGTTAAGCTTGCACTCTTTGACTTTCTCGATCTAAAGCACAATTACCACTGTGTTTTTCTTATCTCTTTTTCTTCTTTTTTTAATGATTCCATAGGCATCAATCAAAATAAAACATCAGGTGAATACATATGATGCTACCCATGTGGTTAACACTGTCCTCTTTAACTTCTTCAAACTAAAACATTATGTAAAATTGTTCAGACCTTGTAAACAGTTCCAAACCCTCCTCGGCCAATCTTATTGCTTGCATCAAAATTGTTTGTTGCAGACTTCAGTTCATTATAACGGAAGATTTTGATATTCCCTGGCAATGGCTCTACACACAACCATAAAAATAGTAATAAATAACAAATTGAAAATAAAAGGAAAAGAAGAGATGGGAGACCAGCAAGAAGAAAGAGTAAGATATTTGAAGCATAGCAAACAAATAAAGAAAACATGGTAATACAAAAAAATTATCTTAATACATAACTTTTGAACCAGAAGCAGCTTAATCATCATTATTTTAACTTGGTGGCTAATAGAACCAAATGATGGAATACTTGCATAGTCATATGGTTCTTTTCTTTTAAAGAAAAAAGAGAATTTTATTAATGAGAAACTAGGAGGGGAGATGACCTGACCCCTCAAAAGATACACTTAGTCAAAGTCAAGTGGTTCCGTTCCAGCTATAATTTCAAAATCTTGTGATTTATGATATGATTCACAATTCAAACCTTGAATTCCGGAGGTTTCTATTTAAATCCTACCATTGAATCCTTTTCTGAAAAAGACCTTGCCGTTGTTGTTTGGTGGTTAAGGTGTGCTAATGACATGGGAATTACACTTATTAACTCTTTATGGCATGGTAAACTTCATATTTGTGCTTTAGGAGGCCTCCGCTACACCTTGCTTGAAGGCTTGTGAACCCTGTCCCCTCCAATGCCCTTCTCAAAGACAAACTTAGCATACTTTCAAGAACAAGAAATTAGTTAAAATTTTAGGTTGAATTTTAAAGTGAAGGCATGACAGGATCCATAACACTATATGTTAAGGCAAGAATGTGTTTTTGTGTGTGAATGGGCACACTTCTGTGCTTGTGCATTTCAGTGTATATGTGTTGACATGAATGCATCAAAGTTCAAGCTGAATCAGGAATTAGACAAAATGGCTATACAATCTTTTCTGTGCATATGAATGAGTTTCCCTTGTATGGCATTAACTTTTACCTTAGTCTACAGAAATGTGAAGATTGAATCATAAATAAGTCCTTACCAGTTGCATCTTGATGAGTATAAGCATGGTACTTTTTCTTTTCTACTGCTGGGGCACCAAAACAACCACAACTCATATCCAGGAAATAATATCAGATGTCAATCTTCTGCAATTGCATGTAGACGTGAATGCGCCTTCAGGCTGCAAATTGATTTCCATATGAAATAAGGATCCATATTTTAAGACACCAAAGCGTGATACAAGAATGAGTCATCAGCTTGATTCCGTTTTAAGTCTTGATTTTCTCTCTTTTACAAAATGAAAGCATACTATTCTTGTTTTGCAATGTTTATGCCTTAATTCAAGCATAACAATTCTCAGATCAAATTTTCAAATGAGAAAGTGAGAGCAGAAAGCCCCAGATCTCTCATCGACCAATTGAAATATCATGGTTTCCATTTTCCTTTCTCTTTTCTATGAGCCCAAAGGAGATCTGCCGAATTAGAAAAATAAAAAAATTAAACTTAAATTTTAAAATTTAAAATAGAGATTGCAAGCATCAATTGCTTCATTTAATACATACAATCCTGCTAACAAGATTACAAAAATCAAGTTTTACAGGATAGACCTTTTCAAAACAAGTCCATATTTTATCTGGGTACAAATAAAGGGGTGTTTTCTCTTCTAGGGTGATAAAATATATGATCTGGTCCCCCTTTTTTTTTCAAGTTCTTATATGTTGGGTTTGATAGAAAATAAGAGAGGAACGGAGAGTTGAGGGAAGAACTTTCCCTCTGTTCCTCCCTTATATTCTAGAAAACCAAACGCAGCCTTACTGTTAGACGTCAAAAAGAATGGTTTGCTTCATCCAACTAAGAACTCTAAACTTAAGTATTTGAGGCTGCCTAGTCGAACTAGGAAACGGAGTCAAGCTAACAAGAAAGGGAGGATCTTTCCCAGCATCAAATTCAAACTTCTTGACTCGTTAGTTTTCTAAGAGCATCCATGTGCATTTTTCTTCTACGAAATATCTTTATTTCCAACTGACTGCCAAACAAAATTGAAAAAAAAAAAAATCCGAATTCAGAACCACCTAGCTTATTATCTAGTCTAAGTCTTGAGAGAAAGATGAAATGATTTCATCTCTATTCACATCAACATCATGACTAAGATCGTGAATAACCAACGGAATAAACCGAGAGAAAGAAAAATAAAATCTGAAACTTAATCAGAAAGAATGGAAGTAAAGAGAATTGCGAAAGTACGTTCTTTGTAAGCTTACCCGAAATGAAAACAATGAAACCGTTCCCTATTCCGTCAAACCCCAGAAATCTGAATCAAATTATCGGTCTCTGTTCTTGTTCTTAGACCAACCAAAACAGAGTACAGGCGGCCATGAATCAAGGCTCGTTCTCTCAACTCTCAAGCTTTTTCCACCTTTAAGCTTTCCCATTGCAGAAAACGACCGTTCCAACAACCGCTGTATTTCACCCGCCGAAATAAGAATGAAAAGTTATCTTCTGTATTTCATAGGTTCCGATTTGCTTTTCACGTGGCATCATATTGAAAAGGATTACTACTACTAGTCGGCCCGTCTAGACTCCTTTGCCATAGCCCATAGATACCACACATCCTCCGATCTCACCGACGAAATTGCTGACGTGGAAAATCTAGACGTCCATCTTCTTCTTCTTCAACGAGTAGAAAGCAGGTCTGCGCATGCGGCCATAAGCTTCAAAACAATTGGTTAACCTCCTCCGTCTGATCTTCTGTTTCCACAGGCTGGCAGGCAATTTCTTGGTGGGACCCGTCAATCCGTGGTCGGTCCTGATAGTGTGAATGTGGAGTGGGGGCCACAAGCCCATAACCCATCCAACGGATGCCGCCCCACCCAAATAAGAGGAGGCGCACTCTTTACCATTAATCAAAGTCAAAGGAAAATCTACGATGCGGGAAAGATAATGATATGGGAAGAGTTTAACACCTGATTGGTTACTATATTTATAATTTCAATTGACTGGCCAGAAAATTTTTAAATATCATATCTTTTTCATATCAAAAGATAAAAGCAATTTTGAAAATTGACTTTTTTATCAATACTAGTTCAAGTTTTTATAAAAGATGATTTCAGGGTTCGACTTTGATAATTTTAACCAATCAACCGGTATCATGTCAGGTGATTAATCAATAAAGCGATTAAAAACAATTTCATTTTATTATCATCTAGGACAAAAATACCCTTGGTGCATGTGACATAATAGGCCCTCTCGCTCGCTGTCTACAAAGGTCATCAATGGGTCCATATGATTTATTGTTTTATCCAAAGTGGCACTCAAGATTATATCATAAGATTGAGGAAAAACAAGGAGGCACACTGATTTGGTTGTCTATTGGTATAATAAAGTAGTTCAGTTGATCACTTGGCATCTCTTCTTTGAATAGGCATTAGATTATATCATATAGCGGTTTTACATGTGTATCCCCTAATGGTTATTGGGACTTGGGCCAAAGCTGCATAGCATGTACCCAAAAAATATACTATACCCCACAGTTGAAATATTAAATTGACTTGTCCAATGGTTGCTAAGATCCAAATGTTAATCATGACCATTTAATGCACCAACACCTAACATTGATGTACTTTACCTTCAAAAAAAAAAAACATTGATGTACTTTTATGTTCATAAAATTTGTTAGTTCAAGTGGGTCGTTTATCTATGGGTTGGTGGAAATTTTGTTCATTTCGCATAACAGTCATTACTTGGGGGTATATTTGGGTATTGCCAAAAAAAATATATGTAGGAAGAGTACACTATAAATGATGAGTACCTTTTGATGGGGACATTTCTAACAAGAGGATTTGAGATATTAGGGTCTTTATATATAGAAAAGGGGATATTAGGAATGGAAAGTGTTGAGAATGTAAGGGCATTTATGTCCTTTTGTCCTTTCTTTTTTGTATTTGGGCACCTATTCAAGGGCCCATTTATAATTTTCTTAAAAATGTTAAGAAAGCTCTTCAGGAGTGAACAATAACATACTTGATTTCTTCGACAAACTCTTCTTCCTCTCTTCTTCTTCTTCTTCTCCTTCTTCTCTTCTTCTCGAATCTCAAGTACTTTAACTTGGTATCAGAGCATCGGAAGATCAAGGAGAGCATCCGCCGATGGTCGTGACTAACAGACGAACCTATTAACGTCAGCACGCCGCCAATTGACGTCAGCAGTCCGTACAGTCGATGGCGTTCATTTACGGTTTTGACATCCCTTGATGCGCCTCATTTTTAGAGGAATTTTGATATACATTTCATGGAGGTTTGAAGCTATTTTACATTTTTCTTAGATTTTTTTAGATGAAATTGGTGAAAATTACAGATTTGGAGTTTAGGATTTGCATGCTCGCATGGTGGGCTGGTTGCTATTAAACCTACTTGCATTTGAAGAGTGGTGATTTTCTGAGATTACAGGAAGCAGCCTCAGATTTTTTGGAGCCCTAAAATTATTTATGGGATTTTTTTTCTTCCCCTATTTTGCCGCCATCACCTTCTTTTCTTCTATTTATTGTTGTAGCTCGTGTTTAACCTTCAAGGAAAGGTGTTTGGGTGTTCATCTAGTGTTGGAAGATTGTGGTGTTGGTGAGAAAAGTGATTTTAGAGGGGTGGTGATCAATGGATTCACACAAGGATGTGTATGTACCTACCTATATCCTCTTGGGAAGTAATGGCAGTGTTGGAGGGCAAATTTGCTACTGTAAAACTTGATGGAATCAAATTTTCTTGAATGGTCTCAATCAGCTAAGCCCACAATTGGAGGAAAATGTATTATCGGCAAGGAAGCTAAGCCAAAGCCTGAAGATCCAAATTATTCCAAATGGGAGCATGATAATTTGCTGGTTATGTCATGGCTAGTATGCTCTATGCAGCCTCACACTGCCCACAACTATATGTTCCTTCCAACAGCTAAGGACATTTGGGATAGGTTAACTTCAACTTATTCTCAAGCAAAGAACACAGCTAGAATCTATTAGTTGTAGAGAGAAGCATGTAATATGTGACAGGGGGAGAAATTGGTGGTCATGTATTTCTCTTCCTTAGAATCAGTTTGGGAAGAAATGGACCATTTACAAACTTTGGAGTGGAAGGATCCTATTGATGCTGAACAATACAGGAAGTGCATTGAGAAAAACCGAGTCTTTGATTTTCTTGTTGGACTAAATGTCGATTATGATTTCGCCAGGCAACACATTAGTGCTGATATTTTGTCACTCTCCACGGCATATTCTTTGGTATAGAATGAAGAGAGTAGGAGGATTTCCATGATGCAAGTTCTTGTTAATGAGCACACAGTTCTTGTGTCTACAAAACCCAAATAGAGTTCTGGTAAATCTGAAGATGTAGTTTGTGAATTTTGCAAGAAGCCAAGGCACACCAAGGATAGGTGTTGGAAACTAAACCCCCACCTAAAGCCTGAAAAGTTTAAAACCGAAAAGAAGGTCAATGCTCATATTGCTACAACTAGTCATGATTCTCAGACTCACATGCTTGAGGGAAGTTCTTCTACTCAAACATCTACTCATGACACCTTTGATGTAATGGAAAAATTGAGAGGCATCTTGCTCCATCTTGAAAAGTGTGAGTTGCCTACATCTGCTGATTCACATACACCTTTCAGTGCCTTTGCAAAATTAAGTACTACACTTGTGTGTCATGCTTCATCCTCTAACTCTTGGATAATTGACATAGGAGCCACTGGTATGCCTTCCTACTTTACCACGTATAAAATTTTTTCAGGGAAAGGTAAGATTACTGTTGTTGATGGATCTCAAACCCCAATCTCGGGTTTGAGTGAAGTTAAACTTACCAACAATCTTTCTCTGAAATTAGTTCTCCATGTCCCACAACTATATAGAAATCTCTTATCTGTTAGCTCTCTTACAAAGTCTCATAATTGTTCTGTAACATTCTTTCCATTTTATTTTGTCTTCTAGGATCTGAGTACGGGGAAGAAGATTGGCAGTGGACATGAAGCCGGTGGAGTTTATCTTCTTGATCGGTCTCTAAAGTTTGGGTTAATGTGCTAGTCTAAGTCATGTCATGATGAAAAACTAAGTCTATTGAAATTGTGGCATCACCGTCTTGGACATGTCTCTTTTGGTTCATTGAAGTTTTTGTTTCCTAGTCTATTTGAGTCCTTGTCTAGTTCTGGTCTACAATGTGAAGTTTGTCAACTATCAAAACAATGTAGAACCACATATTTTGCATGTAACAAGAGAAGTAATGTTGCTTTTCATTTAATACATACTGATGTTTGGGGACCTTATTCTATTCCATGTATGGGTGGTTATAAATATTTTATTCTCTTTGTTGATGACTACTCGCAATATACTTGGTTGTATTCAATGAAGAGCCGAGATGAATTTCCTTCAATTATAAAAGGCTTTTTTAATATGGTGAAGACACAATTTGAAAAGAAGATTAAGATTATTAGATCTGACAATGCCAAGGAATACTTTGAGACGCACTTACAAACTTTCCTTGAAGAGAGATGAGCAATTCACCAAATTTCATGTCCTCATACCCCCCAACAAAATGAAGTATCAGAGAGGAAAAATAGACATGTAATTGAACTTGCAAGGGGATTGTTATTCCAAACGCATGTCCCAACTTGGTTTTGGGAGGATGTTGTACAAACAGTTGTACATCTTATTAACAGACTTCCTTCGTGGACCCTTCATCTTCAGTCTCCTCATCAGCTCCTTTTTCTCGATGAGGATTCCTTCCATCTTCCTCCTAAGGTCTTTGGGTGCGTTTGTTTTGTTCATGACATGAGTCCTTTCAGGTTGAAATTTGATCCAAAGTCTGCTAAGTGTGTCTTATTGGGATATTCTTCAGTCCAAAAAGGATACCTTTGTTATGACCCTCGCTCTGGAAAAAAGTATGTGTCCAAAGATGTTACATTCTTTGAGTCTACTCCCTTCTTTTCATCTTCTTGTCCTTCTCTTTAGGGGGAGAATACTAGTGAAGATCAGACTTTTTTTTGTATGTCGATTCCTGCTCCAACTGTAACTGGTATAGTCAATCCTTCTCTTTCTCCTCTTCCTCCTTGTGGTGGTAGTAATACTCCTCATGTGCCTCATCCGCTTCCTCGCTCTTGGCACTAATGGTTCGTTAGACAAAAAAAGAGGATGACTCTAGAGATTGAATGTCCATTACAATCTGACTTCTCGGACTCTGGTAATCTAGATTTTGAACCTCTTCTTGTTTCTAATATTTGCGGTGAACTTGTTACTGAGCCTCCTAGTATGGTTTTTGACCTAAACCTTCTTATTGCGGTTCGTAAAGCAAAAAGGGCATGTGTTAAATATCCTATCCCAAATTATGTCTCTTATAATACCTTATCTCCCTCTTATTGTGCCTATATCTCTTCCATTGCTTATGTTTTTATCCCTCACAATGTTATTGAGGCAGTGTAGTTCCCTCATTGGAAGGATGCTATGAACTAGGAAATGGA